TCTTCAGGACCAAGAAATCATTAATTTGACATATGGCCTCCAGTCCGGTTTGGAGGCCCTCGTTACAGGGGAACTAACATTCCCTGTCACGCCATAAACCACCTGACAGCCAGGTCTTTTTCCTCAGGTGGCGCTGGTATTGTAGCTCAAGTCATCTGAGGAAACTTTTCCCCCCTATTAGGGACCACAAAGTCCTCTAGGTTCTAAGTTCTTATTGGTATTTGTTAAATTATTCGCACCCCTGCTCTCTTGGGAGTACTTTGAAATTTCTGATCGTTTCATAACTGTTTCCATAATTGAAATAAAGTATGATTAGGCTGCTGGTCAATCTTGGCAGGGGTACCCCAGCCCACGTAAGATCAATGAATATTGGTTTCTGGGACAACCGTATGGGGCCCGATCGGGATGTCCGTGGGGAAGCCTTCCTGGTCTTAACGACTGGGAGTACCTCAGCTTCTACCGCCCTAACATTACGTATTCTTCTTAGCTGCTGTGTCTCCCCCAGATCGGCTGCCAAATGGACAGCCTGTTGGACGATGGCCTCTGAGACCACAGGGGTTCAATAGAGACACTAAAGCATCCCGCCCATAAAAGTGGGAGGGGGCTGGTTGTAAAATCAAATCCCTCACCCTTGCTGACAACTTTGCCAAATCTGGGCTTTCAAACGTCTCCTTGTGTACTGCGTCCCTCGTGACCAATTCACAGATATATATTTGAAGGTCCTCCCTAGGGGCCATAAGCCCATATGCAATGGTACATCGGCCTTATCAGGCCAAGTAACACAGCATGCTGCCATTAACCAATCTACTAACAAATGATTTTGGTCTTGGTGTTGTATGGCGACATATAATCTCAGTCTAAGGGCATGGTGTGAGGTGATAAATGTCAGTTTAGAAATTTCTGGTCCATTAACTACACCACTTTCTGCCCCCAAGTCCCATCATCTTAAAAGCTAAGTTGGTATACTTTCCCAAGGCTGTACTAAGCACATTAATTCAGATGCTGTTTAGGGGTGGGCTGTCATACGCAGATGAGTTGGAGCAGTGGGCCATTCGTCAGGGGCACCCCTGCCAGTCTATTTCATGCTTTCTTTGTTCTTTTCTGTGTTATTATAGGTTGGATCTCAAAGCAGTCCTTCTCAGGTGGAGCTCTGAGATGAGATCTTGAAACTTTGTCTTTTGAATAATCTAGGTCCATTGAGCCTGGGTAGTTTTAATGCAACATTCAGGACTTGCTTTATAGGGAAAGTCAAGCTTGATTTCTTTTCCATTAACATACCAAGCTGCTGTTCTAACTTCTAAATACTACCACATAGCAACTAATTTTCTTTCTCTAATGTGTTATTTGAAAGTTCTGATTAATTGAATGCATTTAATAATGCCCATGTCATGGTGGATGCATCTAGCTGTCGCTCTTTTGTGATCACAATGTCTTTATCTAACCCACGGAAATTATCTGCTATGTGGGATGGGGAAGAAACATTTCCACAAACCTGCAGGGGACCCCATTTGTCAGGTATGACCACGAGCTTGTGATACGGTGATCCCAGAAATCCTGGGATGTGTCCTGGTATAGTTTTCTCTAGGGGGGTAATGTTCTCCCCATTTAAAGATACTCCATAGAAAGGACATTTCAACATTTTTAGTATGACTGGTTCACCAAACATAGCAATCCAAAAGTTCAACACAATGGAAAGGTGATACAAGAGGTTTAACAACAGAGGTTCTAAAGCAATAGAAAGGTGTTACAAAGAAAAAGGACTGCTCACCCATTTTGGAAGATCTATGTTCATAAAGAGAGAACTCCACAAAGGAGGAATCTCCAGAAAGAGCTCCTTCCACAGTGGCAGTCAGACCTTAAATGAGGCTTAAGAGAGGTGCAGCCAGGCTCCACCCCCTTACCTTTGCACATGTGAACTGCCTTCACCTGTGCTCTCAGGCACAGGTCCTTTCCTCAGGTGCTCAATCAGTTCTTCAAGCCATGACTCAACCCTTCAAGCAATGAATGAGTTACCATGCAACTCAGAAACAATTTAAGGCAAGAAGGGAGTAAGGAGATTCCTGATCACTTCCACGCGGAAACCAAACACTTCAGTGAATGTTTAAACACGAACACGTGGCCCTCTGGGTTGCTGCATGCTTTTTTTCCTAATTTAATACACATTTGAGAATGCACCTCTGAAAACTTTGACCTACAATAATATGATACCTAAACAACATTTAATAAAAAAATCTTATAGTATCTCTAAAAAAAACCAAACAAAAATAACAAGCAAACAAAAAAAAAATCAACCAAGCAACCAACAAAAAAAACCCCACTTTTCTCTCTCATATTCTTATTTCACGGAAAGGAAGATACACAGCTCTCAGCAGAGCTGCACTCTTTGGAGCACATTCAAGCACAAAATAGCATCTTGCTATCAGCTGTCACTGTACCCTGCAGGCAGCCAGAGTTATTTCAGATCGAGAAATTTAGCTTGATCTGCTGCTTGTAAATGAATTGTTTATTTACAGTTCTTTGGTAGAGTATGCAGGTAAGTTCCAGCCATAAGCAGTTCTGTGTTGTTTCCAGCCATAAGCAGTTCTGTGTTGTTTCCTTTGTCCCAGTGCATACATTAACAGAAAATAAGCCAGGAAAGTTTGGTCTTCTCTGATGAGAAATGCCATTTACAAGATTGGTGGTGTATGCTTACAGGAATATGTCCCAGTCACAGTTTTGTTATAGGGTTTTTGAGCAGGATTTTATCCCCTTGCCACATGCTTTGATATTTTTGTTGTTTTCTACATCAGAGCACATCCTGATCACAACAGTGTTGCTACACTTTTACACAAAACACAACCAGGTCATAAGTTCACAGCTCTGTGCTTTCATGCTTTCTGCTTGAGCACACCTAAATTGTAACCAACAAAACAGCCACTGAGTATTACCAGGAGGGAAATAGATCCACGCCTTTGGTTGCTCAAAGTAAATAAGAAAATCAAGTGTCAGATAAATTACACATAGCAGTCAGAACAACGTATTTTGACTCAAACAGCATCAGGCCTAGCGCTTAAGGAGAAGACAAAATACAGGGACTCATTTCTTTGAAATAAGGCTTACAGCTGCTCCAGCTTCAGCACACTGAGACAAGGGCCACGCTGAAATCTCCAGCACACTCGGAACGCTCTAGCTTCAAAACGTCTGTTTTCTACAATCAAAAGGTCCGCATTGCCGGTGGAAAGGAGAGCAGAGCTGACTGCAATTCAGAGAACACGGCGGGAGCTGATCCCACTCAAGGCATCACTTCCCACTTCGCTGCCCACGCCCGGTTCACTGCTCAGCTGAGTCTGCAGTGCAAAACCCAACTGTTATCGTCCAAAATAACACAAACACTAACAACCAAAAATTAGCTTGTAAAGAGAATAGTAAAAAGAATAGGGAGAATATTAAATTAGCACTGCGCGTTTTAATCGCTGTCTTTCACACCTGGCGTCACCCATTCAGTAAATAATGCCACACGTGACACAATCAAAGCCAATTTCTCAGCAGCCATGACGTTCCTACAATTTAAAACGGGTACGTCGGCGTTACAGAAGTTACCGCAGCGCTACGCTTATCTTTAAGCACTGTGCTTGCTCCCGAGTTCAAAGCAAGGCTCCGTTTAAGCACCGTTTCTTCAGCAGCCCCAGCAGGAGCGTCCCGCGCTGCGCCCAGAGCTCAGCGCGGAGGAGTCGACGCAGCTTCGCCGCAGCGAACCTCGCCAGCTCCGTACCGGCCACGTGCCAGCACGGCGTTATCTGATCGGTAACAGCTAACGTGCCACAGAAACTGCACATTTTTACCTTTCACGAGATATTCATTTATTCCCGAAACGAGTGGCATTGGTTTTGGTTCAGGGCTTTTGTTTATTTATTTATTTGCGGTGAGAAAAACAATACGTTGAAGCCAAAAATATTTTCAGACCGCGAAAAAATTAAGGAACAAGCAGATAAACACCAAAACCAGCCAGCCAGAGAAACAGCACCGACCTCCCAGCCCCCCCGCGGTGCTTACCGGGCCGTACAGTCGGGTCGCCGCAGCTCCGCAAGTCCGTGCAGCGCCGGACGCCGCTCCCACGCGCGCTCCCGCTCGGCTCGCGGCGCCGCCCCCCCTACGCGCCTCTCCGAGCGGCCGCAGCGCCGAGCCGCCCCGCAGCCGTGCGCATGCCTGAGGAGCTGCGCCGCGGTGGGAACGGGTTGGCAACGGACGAGTCGGAAGAGCGGGTCATTTGCGCGTTCTTTTTGTTGTTTTTCTTTTTTAATTTAAATGAAGTACTTCGCCTTTGGAGGCGTGCAGCACCGTCCCTTTATCCCGTTCCGGCGCTCCTTCCCGCAGGTAGGGCGCGCGTCAGCGGGAAGGCTCGCGCAGCACGCTCGCACAAGCGGCTTACGCAAAGGAGCCCGTGACCAAGGACGTGACAGACTAAACTATTTCCTGCTCGGGGACAGCGGAAAGGCGACCTTCGGAGCGCCGGCTACCCGAAAGGTAATGTAAGTGCCCTTCATGTACCACACCGACACGTCAGGCACACTCAGCACGGCGCCCCAACCCCAGCTCGGGCGGCGCGCTGCTCCGGGCTGCCCCGCAAAGAAGGGCTGTGACCTTGGAACGTGGTTCTGAGTAAACCACGGTGGTAATTGTAGAGGAAACCGGTAATTAGACAGCATGAATTCACGCCACTAGTACTGTTTGGTCTCCAAGAAAAATAAAAGCATTTACACTGAAATGAGATTACCCTTGGATGTACTTGCTGTTTTACCCTCAACCATTCATTAAGAGCTGAACATCAGACTTAAGGAAGTTCATAGTGGTACCTATGAACACACACCCCAAATCATGTTGAACATGTCGTACACAATGACAACAAAGTTTGGGCAAAAGGTAAACAAAAAAATCCCAAAGCTTAAAGAATAGCAATAAAATATTTGCATCTTGCTCCTCCTTCCCATTCACAAACCTCCCAACAAAAGAAAAACATAACATCGAGAGAAAAGAAATAATTTATTAGAGACTTCAAAAGCAAACTAACATGCACTTATCATGTAAGCCTTCTGACAAACATACTTGGAATCTTTAAGATGAGGAAGTTTATACTCTGCCTCAAGTACTTTAGAAATGCTCTACGCACAGTTCCAGAGTGCCGATGGTTGTACTGCTTCCTCCCCAGGCTTGAGAACTCGTGGATGGGATGGAACGCAAAAGGAACCTGGAACATCACAAAGGTGTGTTAACAGCGTGAACAACTAGATCCTAGCAGTGACATGATTTCTTTTGACAACTAAATTGAAAGATGGTTGAGATTGTAAGACTTCTGAGTATCTGAAAAAAACTGACTTAGCAGGTGCAGAATGTATTAGTTTTGTATTACAGTAAATGAAAAATGATAATGCAAATACAAAATGATAATTAAAAAAAAAAAAGTCACCATCACCAACACTACCTCATTGAAGAGAACAATCAAAGAAACAACAAAAATGTTAACCATGACTAATAATTCAATTCTGAACTCTGTAACTGCATTGTGAGACACTGTTGGATTTTGCTGTTCAAAAACAAAAGACAAATGTACAAACTGAAAATCAACAGTTTCGCATACAGTAGGACAACAGTAATCAAATGTTGTAAGAACACATTAACCCTCCAATAACATTAATCGTGGCCTTGTGACATACTTTAAACCTAATGATTTATTTAAGAACGACATCCTCAGCTGTGAGCCCAGCACAGCTCCACACACACCAGTGAAACACTTCTAGCTCAGACAAGCTAAGGAACTGTATCAGAAATGAAATAAATGATATGACCTTTGAAGAGAAAGGTGAAAGCCACCTTTTAAGATTAGGAAAGTTCACTTCAACTATTCACCCAACAGATAACAGATAAAAAGAGATAACTCTTTTTTTTTTCCCCCCCTGAAAAAGTTCTACTTTTAAATTGATAGATTAATTCAGGCTTTAAAATGCATAAGCTCCTCCCCAAACCTATTCTAGGTGAGAAATTAGAGGTGGTTGAGTGCTATAGGAAACATTGCACATAAAAGGATACAACAAGAAAGGATACACTCTGCATGACAGTATTATTGCAGTATATACGCAGGAATGTTTCTAAAGAAGAACAGCAGAATGTTGTTTAATTTTATTTAATTCTCAAGATTGCACACACATTAAATTTATGCTGCCTATCATAAACAAAAAGGTATAACTTAATAAATATACTTTTGACCCAGTCTGGTGAACCCACCATCAATAACTCTGTATTCAAAAGTAAATCCATCTTTTGATAACTTTAACTATACTTGACAAAAGCAGATTCTTGTTTTATTAATTCTTCCTCAGGCCTTTGACATTTTACAGACTCACTTTCTCCATCAGATCCAAAACCCAAACACGCTTCAATGCAGGCTTTCAGGTCACTTCTTCTCTACAAAGAAGCTGATGACCTCTCAGCATCAGTTTCTTTTACATAATCCTTATACCAAAAAACTATATTTTACCCACAGAAAAATAGTCACTCCAAATGCTAACTGACATTTTTGTCGTTCATCAAGAAAAAGGCATTTCAGTTAGCAGTAAGTCACACTGTTTTTATAAACCATTGTAAGTTGCTTTCTCTACCAAAGAAACAATATTTGTAGAGAAAGTAATAAATAATGTTTATGAATTAATCAACAAGTTCTTAATTCAATTTCCTTACAGAAGAAAAAAAAACTGATACAAATCATACTTCAAGTTCCTCAGGTGTCTGCATGGATTTCAGATTTATATAATGGAATTCCGCATCACAAATTAGCATTTATCAGATTATTCCAGCAGACACAGGAAAACACATTCGATGCAGAAAAAGGGTTCTGCCTCATCATTAGCGTGCAAGTAATTTGTGATCTGTAAAGGAATGATTTGTACTTAACCTAGGATTCTTAGGGATTTCAATTAGTCTGTGGTGCACGATGTGACTGTCACATATAAACATTGAAGGCGTGGAAGAAGTCCTGTGCACCATTTACTAAAGCCATGAAACTGAAGCAACCCACGCAGGCTTTCAGATGTACAGTTATGTCTTGAGCGCTTGCTCATTTTAAAAAAAAGCTTCTGAGTTGATCATCAGTATGATTAATAATATAGTAAGCACCTGGTTATTTTCTTTCTGCTATTCAAGTATTATTTAGCATGTTTAGTAAAGTCAGAATCAAATTTAATGCATTAAGCTGGTTGGAAATACATGACGTGCCAGAATTACAGTTCAGAGTTCACATAGAAAGCTTTCCACCAGTTAAAAATACTTCAAATTTCCTTTTTCCATTTAAAACAACTTTAATAACATTCTTATCACATTCCTGGAGAAAATATAACTAATACTTTTTATTTAACTAGGAAGGAATAAGAAAAAAATTGAAACACTTCTGCACACCCTCGTTTCTCACAGCTCAAAATCAAGGCTCATTCGTCTGCTTTCAATAAACAGTACAGAAAAACACCTGTAAGAACAAGTCATCTTTTATGAAATAAAAGATAGCTATTACTAATAGAAATACTACCCTCACAATAACAATACCAAGGGAATTAAAACAATTTTTTAAAATTAAAATCAGTTGTTCACATTTCAATCTTCAGAATTGGTTTTTTTTTGTTTTTTTTTTTTAATTATCTTTTTTTTTTTCTAAATAATGACCAAGACATTCAGATTAAGAAACATAAAGGAGTAAGCAGTACTTTTCTAAAGCACTCAACCGAAGCTTTAAGTTCTGAGGTTAGGAGATGGATAACCAGAGTGACATTCAATCATAACATGTAATTCAGATAAAATGCTCTTCAAATTTGAGCTTGCTACTTCATCAGAGTGCAGGCTGAGAACTGAGCGTTTCTGTGGTAGCATCTGAAGTAACTGGTGCAAATCTGAGACAGTTCACAACCCAAATTTTTGGAGGCCACAAAAATTCCCACAATTTTGCTTCAGTTACTTTAGCATAAAGCAAATACTTAAGAGTAAGCGCTAGTGAAGTAAAGATGTACGATATGAAGTGATTACTTTTAGCAGAAAGTTAATTTCTCATCAATTTAGACAAATGTTAAAAATATCAGCACTTGTGCACTCCGTAGCAAAGCATGTCTCAATTACTGCATTATTAAGTAATACTTTCAGAAACACAAACATTTCCTAAATCAGACAAGCTTTAGAGATGCTGCAGTAGTAGTACTAAGATCTCATTGACAGAGGTGGCAGAAGCAAGTTTACTGCTGGAAACGGATATATGAAACAGCTTTACAGCATGCATGGTCTGAGTAAGGACAGGAAAGGGCAAAGCTGCCACTCCTGTTGAAGCCAAAATCCCAGAACACTACTAAAAACGTAAGTGCTCAAATTCCATGAAGTCATTCTCCCTAAGTTCCAATTTCCCAGGATTAAGGATCAGAAAATACAGACAACTATCCTAGGATCTCAAGATAAGGAAAATAATAGACTCCATGTTTCTAAACAGAGAAAGAAGCAATCTTTAATCTTAAACCAACTGCACATCCTGCAAACTGGTTTCCTGACAGAAGAGCTCATTTAAGAAAAGAACACTGTATGGAGTATTTCTCTTTCACTGTCACTATTCCTAAAGCAATTATAAAAAATAAAACAAAAAAAAGGCAACAAAATGAAATACAAAACCCTGTAATTTTTTAGGCAAAGAATCCATACCTTTTGCTATGTTCTACTTTTTTCTTTTCATTTCATTGGAATCCTGCTTTGGTCTAGCTGAACGAGCAAATTGCTGAGGTTCTGTTAAGGACTACAAATGTCGACAATAAACACAAGTCAATCAAGAAGCAACACAATCCTAGTCAAAGATAGGACCTCGCTGATCTGCAGCACGCTTCAAGAGAGCATATCCTAGAGCTCATAAAAAACTGGAACATTTGGAACATTTGATTCAGCAATAAGAAAGGATGCGAAAAGATTTCAAACTAAAACAACAGGGCAATCCAATCAAAGAAGTGTAGAAACCCCAACACGATACATATGCCCCCAAAGTAACTAATTTGTATGCAATTATAAAAAAAAAACAAAACAACAGCCAACCAAGAAAACAAAAGAAACACTTCATCTCCCAGTTCTGCAAACACAAGTTTAAACAACTCAAAAGCCCTACATAATTTAAATGCAATGGCTATACACCTTAAACTTTTGGATTGGGCTTGCGGTATCAAAGAGCAAAGAACAGAAAAATAATTAAATCTTAAGTAAGGCTATTTACTTTCCTATTTCACAAATGGTGTCCCTATACATTTTTAAGATATAAATTTTACAATAGTACACTAGGTTCTTCTGCCTAGTTTTTGTAACATCTCTCTTCTTCCCGCCGATTTCTAACAAAAGCCTCTAAGAAGGCAAAACTAGATACTGACAGACAACTCAAAAAGAATGTGATGTAAACATTTGAAGAAAAAGATACAACGACCATGGGTTTTTCAAATAAGACGTATCCATTTGCTTCTTTTAAAGCTTTAGCAGCTGCTTTTTCATTAGGAAGTCCAATGAAAGCCTGACCCTTCATACGGCCTTCTTTCATTAAACGTATATCGAACCTAGAGGAAAAAACAGAGAATTAGGAAATAATAGAATAGGATCACAGAATCACTAAGGTTGGAAACAACCCCAAAAATCATCCAGTCCGATCATTCACCCAATATTTCCCCACTAAACCATGTCCCTCATTACAACATTTAAGTGTTACTTGAACACCTCCAAAGACAATGACTCCACCACTCTCCTGGGCCCATTCCAGTGCTTGACCATTCTTTTGGAGAAAACTTTTTCCTAGTGTCCAACCTGAATCTCACCTGGCGCAACTTGAGGCCATTCCCTCTTGTCCACAGAGAAGATGTCGACCCCCCATCTCACCACCACCTCTTTTCAGGGAGTCATAGAGAGTGATAAGATCATCCCTGAACCTCCTCTTCTCCAGACTAAAAAATCCCAGTTCTGTCAGCCATTCCTAAGGCTTGTGCTCCAGACACCTCATCGGCTTTGTAGCCCTTCTCTGGACACACCCCAGGGCCTCAATGTCTTTCTGTAGCAAGGGGTCCAGAACTGAACACAGTACTTGAGATGTGGCCTCACCAGGGCTGACTACAGAGGGATGAAAGATCACTGCTGGCACCACCATTTCTGATAGAAGCCAGGATGGCACTGGCCTTCTTGGCCACCTGGGCATGCTGCTGGCTCATCTTCAGCCAAGATCAACCAACACCCCAGGTTCATTTCTTCCATGCAGTCTTCCAGCCACTCTGCCCCAGGCATTGCCGGGGGCCGCTGTGGCCAAAGAGCAGAAACTGGCACCTGGCCTTGTTGATCTTCATCCCATCTGACCAGGGAGGGTCCAATACCAACCTCTGCGGCATACCACTTGTGAACACCAGATGGATTTAACTCCTACTATATGGTTTGTTTTTTCTAACACCTTCATATTTCAAAACTCTGATACAGTGCTCCTAACTTCAAGCTGAAATAGCCGATATGGATGCAGTACCTACATGCAGGAATTATGCCACTGAAGACCACTTACATTTTGCCTAGGAGATGCTGTTTAGTAAAGGCTGCACTGAACTGCAGGATGGTAAATCTGTGTCCAACTGTAGTAAATATCACATATGCTAAATCACTAGATTCACACAATCATTCATGCTGTATTCATTACGCACTGCTCAACAAAATAGTATATTTAGTAATTAAAATATAAAGGCAAAATAGTAGTCTTTAGAAACTGGACAATAATCCTATTTCTGTACTTGTGACAGTGTCTTCAGATGTGAAGCACTGTTTCCTCAACCAATAAAGAAGCAGCACCAGAAAGAAAAAAAAGCAGAAATAACTAGTTTTCAAATTACAATTCTCACCAATATGAAAAAGTTAACATCAAAGACTTCATTTTAACTTACATATTTCGTTCCAGTTCAGACTCAAAGTCAACATATCTTCCAAAAATGAACTTGAGATCCTGGAATTAAAGGGCTGATTTAAGAAAGTTGCTGAAAAGCCTTTATGAGAAATATTTGTTTTTTCTTTTTTACATACCTTTTCTTGCACTTGTTTAGCCAAATTCTTCACGTATATCCGGCAATTTGGTTCACCTGGCTCATAGTTTTTAAAAACAGAAAATTTTTCCATTTCTTGAAGAAGAGAGAAAAATAGACAGTTATTTTTTTTTGCTAAGAATAAAACAAATTATTAAAGTACATATAGCAAATTAATACAGAAAATACTTAAACTTTTTATTACAACAAAGTAAACAGCTTCTATTACATAATTTATTGTCACAGTTGTACCTTCTCTAGAAAGTCTGTTTTTCTCTAGTTCTCTTCTAGAAATAAACTCTGATGGTATTTCATCATCTTCTTCCTCTATTTCCATTTTATCATTTGAGCTAGGAGTTGGGAAAATTCTTCCAAATCCTGTATTATTGATTTCTTCTGTGGTGGCACAAAGATCTGTAATTTGAACACATTATACAAGAAGGTTGTATGATTATTCACAAGAGGAAGGAGAGCAAGCAAAAAGAATATATTCCTTTTATTATTATTTAATTATAGCAGGCTCTGTAAAGGAATCTGAACACATCCTTAAGGAAAGTTCTATTAATTCCGGAGTGGACAAATATAATTTGTTCTACAAAATCAACTGCAGTACCAAGACAAGTCACAGCACGTGCCTGTTAAATTAAAACTAGCCCTGCTATTCAAAGCCCGTATTTTCATTTAAAGCTCTAAAATACTGAAATACACAGACAAACCATAGCCCTATAAGAAACCACCACACCCTCACTGCTGGCACTGTCCCGCATTTTTACTGCAGATTATCAGTGTAACGCAGAGAAGAAGCTGGCAACCATCTTAATACTACTCTCTAAGAGCTGGAAAAAGAAGATCTAAGATTAGCTTGATCCATTCAGTTACAAGATATATAATAGTGAGAATACATTTGTACTGTACTTGCTACAGGCAACATAAAGTTTAAAAACTTTTAAGAAAAGGTGCAATTCACCATAAACATACATACTACAAGGACAGAAAGACTTTAAAATGCTCCATATCCTGCATTACATGGAAGCACTGAGCTCTCTTTAACACACGAAAAGCAACAAATGCAGACAAGATGCAAGGTGGTGTTCTTAAACTCTGATGTATACTATCTATGGAATCTTCTCCAATACAAAAGAAGAACATATGCTTACCATTTTTTTCTTCTCTTTCCGAATTTATCTGAAGAACAGATGGGATGTCAGTAGTAATATGGAACTCAATCTTTTTAAGACCTACATGCTGTGGTTGCTCAAAGACATCTGAAGGTGACAGGGTAGGGTGCAAATTACTGTTTAAAACAACAACGTGTTAAACATTTGGACAGGCACTTTCTTATTTAGGTTACTGATAGCTTTTTGTAAGTGGCATTGATGTTGCTCTCACAGTGTGAAAAATATCCCAACCCAATTGCAGAAAGAAAAATGTTACAAGAAAATCGTGTATCACAACTGATTATCACTAGATAGAAACTCTAGTGGCTACTCTGCCACAGTAGTGCAATTTCAAAAATCAAGATGATCTAAACAAAATCAGCTCTTTTTCTCCTCCTCCCCCCCTCGTTTTTCTGTTTTTCAGAATTGCCTCAAGCAATATGTACAGATCACTTCTATCAGCACTGTAACATGAAATTGTTTTTATTTTTTTATGAAAAATGTTCTTTTGATAGCAAGAGAAAGAGATAGAACTTTAATACTGTGGTTGTTAAACAGACTTCAGTTCATACTACATAACAACGCTACCTTGCAAGCAATTAGGCCCAACTTACATACCAGAGAATACTTTCATTAAAACAACACTATAGAAAACATGATGCAGGGAAAGACACTGTGCAAAAAGAATAATTTTTCTGAAAATATGCAAGCAGAAAAATAACACAAACCTGTGGGGAGTACATGTGGGAACATTCAGTAAGTCCTTAATTCTTTGCCTTTTTCTAACACCACGCTTCTTCGTGTTTATTGGTCTTTTAGGTTGAAGGGTCGCTAATTCCATCAATTTGGTCATTCTATTATAAATAAAACGAAGTTAAAAAAGATCCAAATTGGTTTACATTTTATTTGAGAATGCTCACTTGCAAATGCAGCCCTTCTCCCTTCCTCTAAGCCCCTGAAATGCACTTTTCAGAATTTATTTGTCAATGCATGTATTTTTCTGAACATAACTCATTTATTTCAGTTTTAGTAGCAGATGAAGACAACAATTTCTTCATTGAGTATTGTTTTAAGGCTTAAAAACAGCTCTAATATAATTTATTCCCAAGCCTGCGAGAGAATCACAACCTCCTTCCATTATTGTTTGTCCTAGCAATACACACTCAATGTACAAAGAACATTTTGGAAGTCAGGCAAAATTATTTAGGCTGAGTAATTTACTCTCTAAAAATGTGGAAAACTGAAGAAAACCAGAAAACAACTCATTGCTTCATTCGTTATACTGCACTCTCTTTTCATTATGAGTTTTTGGATTGTTTTTTTTTTTTTCAAAGTAAGAAATTCTAACTTCTGTGCACACATGGCCACACTCACCCTCCTACTGTCATTCAAAACAGCACTATCCCTCCATTTTTCACTTACTATGGAGCTTCGTAACACATCGGGAAGACTATCTATAGGCTGCAAGTGTTCAGAGATTTAACCAGTGGCTGAACAAGTATCCAGAGAAGTAAAAAGTATGTATTAAGACTGTAAAATGCACACCTCTCTTTTTCCTCCGCGTTATCACTTTCATATTCTGATTCATCTCCACTAGAGACTTGCTCTTCTTCCTCTTCGGGCAAAGGAGGCTCCTCAGGAGGCAAAGGTGGAATTGGTGGGGGTGGCACAGGCACTGGTAAATACTCTTCATACTGGTAATAAGCAGAATGTAAAAAAAAAGTGACGAAAGATTTTTAAGTAAAGATTTTGTGCGTCTTGTTTTCCTTTGTATATAATAAAAAGCCAAGGCGATACATTACAAGATAGTAAGAAATGGCTTTTTACAGCACATTTATATAGATTTATACACTATTTTGATAAACTACATTAGTAATTAAAAATCTGCAGTAAAAAAAAAATAAATTCCAATATGTAAAAGTGGATGATTTCATTCTTTTTATTTGAGAAGTTCAATATAAAAGTAAAAACTTTTCTATTGCAGGGGTTTATGGGTTTTTTTGTTTTGTTTTTTTGGTTTTTTAACATTGCGTGCAGTCCTAAGGACTTTTTTCCAGAACACAGAAAAGGAGCCCTGAGCTACTAAACAATTTCAGTTTATACACTGAACTTTCCAACAGCTGTCAAAACTACACCATTTCTATAAGCAGCGAGGATTTCATGAAAGGAATCTGATTTTTCACTAAGAGTGTGGAAACCACATATTACAAGGAAATACCTACATACAAGATCACTTTTACATGTTTGAACTTAGGATCTCTTACCACACTTCTTATATTTTAAATTGTGAATCTTTTTTCCAGTACCTAAATACATATATTTTAAAAGTTACCATGGGAGGGCGAGCAGTAATTGGTCCAAAAGGCGGAGGAAGATTCATTTTATTCATCAGATGAAGTACCTGAAATGATTCAAGGTAAGAAATAAATACAGTTCCTTGCTAGATATCACAGCTGATTACTTCTGACAGGTAGAAATCAGTAGTTTTAATGACAGTACAACCACAGGTTACCAAAAAATGTGAAAGCCAGCAAATGAGATGCAACAATACGAGTAAGTACAAGCAATACCGTGAAAAGGCTACTAAGAAGTACATAAAACATCTCAGTATGAAATTACAAGTGCTCATAATTCAGAAGATCAGATCCGTTTAAGCCTTCCACATCAGCAAAGTAACCGATAGTTCTCGTCAATGAAGTCTCAACATAGCCAAGAAATAACACTGTTTAAAAGTATCACAGGACAGCTAACTTTTATTTAGTATGTCAAAAATTATTTCTGTGGATAACTAGAAGAGGAAAAAGGACATGTTTTCATTTTCATACTTCCTTTTTTTGCTGTTTTCTTCCCCCCCCCAATTACCTGGACATAAAACTTGGGCACGCTTGCCAAGGCATTTGCTATATTTGCTAGAATTGTGCTTGAAGGTGGTGGATACAGATACTTGAGGCAAGAATTGATGGGAAATGTGAGGCTGAGGAAGAATAATAAAGACAATGAATCTTAGCTGCATTGCCATAAAATAGCTGATAGCAATTAATGGTTACTAAAAATTTTAGCTGTTAAATCTGAAATATCACTGACATATTACCATTCTCCCTAGAACAGTTACGTACCATTTTGACTGGCTGGGCCACCCACATTACACTTTTAGCACTGGGGAATAGAACGTCCCCTATCATATACCAGATTTACTGGGCTTGGACACAAGGAAAGTAAGTAACTACACATACAGAAAGTCTAACAAACACAGGACAGAACCAACATCTTCCAACATCATAAACCCAAAACTCCAAGCACTGGATTAATCAGCCCCAAAAGAAAATTATTCTTCAAGTAGGCAAAAATACAAACAGAGAAAAAAAAAAAAGACCAAACTGTCTAAGAGAGCCCACTCAGCTCTTAAACTCCTGAGAAAGTGACAAACTGCACTAGAAGACTTGGAGGCAACCTATAGCTTCACTTCTCAAAGTATCGGTCATTATTCAACCATAAGACTCTTAAATTTGAAGAACTATGAATTTTATCTTTACGAAAAAAATGCCTACAGCTACACATGTAGAAAAACAGTACTCTATAAAACAAAACTACTACTACTACATTCTCTCTTGTTCAACAGAATATAACACTTACTACAAAATAGACCTTAACAGAACAAATAAGTTTAAAAAGTTGAAAATATTAACCCATGGCTAGGTGCAATTCCATTCTCTATTTTAAGACAGCTTGGCTCTCTCTTCTCTTCTTCTTTCACCGGCTCTTCTGAACTAAAAAATAACATTAATTAAAACAGGTAAAAAGTTCACTGCCTTCCAGACAACCTATCTCTCACTTTCAATTTCAAAAAATATTACAAATAGATCAGTGTAGTATTTTTAAGAACTTTATATTTGTAAGACAGGTCTATGCAAATAAATATTTATCCATATTACAGAGGGTCTCCCCGTATTTATACATTTCTCATTTAAATCTACTCACAAGAAAAAAACTGAAACTATTTGTGCTACTCTTTGTTCAAAGGTTATAAGATAAAAATATTGTTATTGATTTGTTCATATTCAGAGCAGACTAATTAACTTTTAAAAGCTCTACAGCTGATTTTAATGAGGCACAATGACGTAGCTTTTATCGCTTTGTTGCGATACTGCACAGGTAAACCTAAAAGCTTAGCTACACAATTTGTTTTTTTATTTAAATTACATATTCAACAAATATTTGAAATCCAAACTATCATAATCCTTGATGACACTATAATTAGAGGATTTATTTTTGTATTTTTATTTATATACTTCTTTATACATTTGAAGAGAGATTCTGTTTCATGTTTGATGCAAACTTAGATAGTACAGTCTTACGCAATCATACCTACAGGTGTCAATTTTGCCTGACTCGATTAGATTAGAAAGAAATATCATGAAAACACTGTACATACTTTCTGATGGTAAAATGACACTACAGCTCTGACACAAAAAAGAAGAAGAGACTCCTAAGCACAAGGAACCTGGGTATCATAGAGGTCACCTTACATAGATGGAGTCTTGCTCTACATGAAAATTAGCAGGACTATCTCTGGTGAAGGATACCTTACAGGAATAAGGATGGGGACTATTTCAAGATTATACTGAACAGTACAATACTAATAGGAGGAATGAAATCGCTCATCTACAGATTTGAACACACCTATTAACATTACTAAAAGGCTATGATTTACTCTTTTACTTAACAGTACCAGGAAAATGTTATGAATACAGAATTACACTTCCTTGAACACACACATATTGAATTATTATCCACATACCTTTTACATTTGTCTGACAGTGAAGGCTGGTTAAGTACCTGCACGCTATCTTGCTCCTTTGCAAATTCAACAACTAATGTGTGCCCTAAAAGTTTCAGCTGATGCAGTCTTGACAAAGCCTTCAAATTATTATAACAGAGAAAGGAAAGAAACAGAAGAGGAAAAATATCAGATTGTTTCAAAGCAAGACTTCAAATTTTAAATCTGAACATAGCCGTGGGACTGCAGCCTCAACAACACTTATTACACACACTAGTAAATCTCTGATTTCAAGAAAAAAATGCCTCACTTACGAACTACACACATGGTGCAGTCTACCAGTACTATCTCAGAATCTGTAAATTGCAAATTGCCTAGTTGTTACATGGTGAAGCTCTAGTTCTCTGCAAGTCTTGATAGTCTACCAGCAACAGACACAAAGCAACCTAAATTCACCACTGTTTATCTCACAAAATCTTTGCGCCTTCTTTCAATATTATTTTATAGCATGACTTAATAAACGATCTAGAATATAAGAGTGGCATTCAGGGCAGAGGCTTTTCACCAGTCATTTTTAAAAGGCATCACTAGTAATATCAGTTTACATGCATGTCTTCCATTAACATGACATTTTTCTTACTATTATTGAGGCTGGCACACAAGGCAGCTTCGAATTGTTTACTTCACTATGTCTAAATTTTGTCACATACCCAATTGCGCACGAGACAAGCAACTTAGGTTTGTTTTACAGCCTATACAAGAATGCACAAGCATCCTAGACAAAACACCATCAGCATCATCTCAAGTGACTTTGCGTTGCTCTAAGTCACAGGTCGGACCAGATGACTTTCAAAGACCCAACACATCTTTCCTATGACTATGCAAGTGGGGTTTTTTTGCAAATCCTTCTCCTAGTGGTTTAACCCTGCAAGCAGCTAAACACCATGAAGCCTTTTGCTCACAGCTTTCTCCCAGTACCCTAACCCTAGGGTACCAGTAACCTCTCTCCCAGTGATATGGGGGAGAGTAAGAAAAAAAAGTTACCACTCACAGGTTGAGATAAGAACTATTTACAAAGATGGAAGAGAGAAATAATGGTAGTCATAGACATAGGTAAATAGAAAGTTTATACATATGTGTATTTGCAAACCAATTGATGTGCAAGCAATCGCTCACCACCTGCTGACCAATGCCTGTCTGGCCAACTCCCCTCCATTTTTCAAGGTTTTTTTTTCTGCACGATGCCATACACTATGAAATATTCTTTGGCCAGTTTATGTCAGCTGTCCTGGTTCCGTCCCCTCCCAGCTCCTCGTGCTCCCCAGACCCCATGCTGGCAGGACAATATGAGAACCTGAAACATCCTTGGTTCTGTACACCGCTGTTTAATAACAACCAAAACATCTCTGTGTTATCAACATAGGTTTTCTCCTAAAGCCAAAACACAGCATCATATCAGACACCAGGAAGGAAGTCAGTTCTGTCCCAGGTAAAAACAGGATGCTCCTGAAACAGTAATATTTTACGCTGCTCCACACGAGATCACATGTAAAACGTTATGGAACAAATAGCAATACAGAGAAGTCCTTTGCTAAAACAGTAACAAATTTGAATACAAACCTTTACAGCAGCATTTTCACTAGGAAAAGTAGCAAAAGCAGTATGTTTCTGGAAAACAAACAAAATGCCGCACTGAGTTCAAATCAAAGGTAAGAAAAGGTAAGAAAAAGGTAAGAAAGGTAAGAAAATTTCCAGTTATCACTCTTCTAACTGCAAAGCGTGGCAAAGGCTTAGGGAACGTTCTTTGTAACAAATCAGAATAAGAAGTTTCTGCATTACAGGGGAGTGAAGACCATTAAAGGCTGCCTCCTAGTCAAACGACTCTATGATTCTAAGAGGCAGAGCTGCGGAGCGGATCTCTGCCCCCCACAGCGAGCACCCCACGCTGCCCCGCTCCTTTTTCCAAAGGACGGCCCAGGCCAAAGCCCTCCGGGCCGCACCGAACCACGAAGGAATCGGCCAGGGCCTCCTCACGCCCGCGCCCTCACCAGCCGCCCGTGGTCCGACAGGACGCGCACGGCCACTGCCCCGAAGTGCTGCAGCAGGTCCTCCTTCTCCGCCGCAGTCAGCTCGGCGGGCAGGTGCCGCACCAGAAGCGTCCGCCCACGCCGTCGCGCCACGCCGGGGTGACACTGCCCCGCGCCCAGCGCCGCGCCACCCGCCCGCTCCTCCTCGCTGCCCGACGCCGCCATCGCAGCGCGAGGCCGGAAGCGGCGGCACTCCCACAAGTCGCGCGAGAGCAGAGGCTGCCTCCCGCACCTCGGCGGGCGGGCTGTTGGCGTGAGACGCCTCAGCCATTGGGGTGGAGTCGGGGCGCGTTTGGGCGGGAAGCGGCTGCGGCTGTGCGGCTGGCGGCGCCTGCTCTGTGTGACTGGCCGGTGGCCTGCTCGGCCCCTGTGCCACTAGGGAGAAAAAACTGGGGAAATGCAGCGTTTGGAAATACATCAAGTAGCGAAGCAAAAATTTAGCAGCGATTTCTTAAAGGATCAGCTGCTGCATTTTTGTTGATCCCGTTCACATAGGCTAGGAAACATCTGTGAATTCGAAGACAAGTGGAAAAATTGGCACAGAGGAAAATACTACAGTGTACTTTCCCTATGACACTAGCAATACCGTGTGTTCTGATGTTGAAATTTTAACACCGACCAGCTTTGTGAACTGTGGCCTATTGTTTCATAAATTCAGGAGACTCAAATGTTGGCCACAGTTACTTGCAGCAGGTAGGAGCCTTGGCATTGCAAAAGCTAATCAGCGGCAGCTTTGTTGCTCTGTTCTGTGTAAATTAGACCTTTAGGTGCACTCCTGGGTAAGGAGACAGAAGGACATTTTATGCAGATGTGCATTTTTTAGCAAAGCAAATCTTTCACTTCCATTTGTAGCTCTCTAATGCACTCCCGTCCTTCACCTGTAGATCACTCACCAGGCTGTGAAATGATTACATAATTCAAAATACATTTTTTTTTTTTTCTCAGAACTGAGAAATGTGATTGAGCTCTAGTCAAGGGAGGGGAAAAAAAAAAAAGTGTTTTCCAGTGACACTGAACACTAAAAGTGGCAAGAAAAATGTAAAAATGTCACTAAAATTTTGTAAAAAGTTTTTAAAAAATCAAGAAAATAAGTTTTGCAAAATTTCCTGATATTTTGGACACCATTCATTCATTACTGACGCCATAAAGTTGTCTATTAATGACAAATCAGCAGTGGCTGGAGGCAGATGCCATTGTCCTATGTAGTGAAAGTCCAACTCAGCCTGTCAGTTACAGTTGTTTATGAAGCCAACAAATGTCAGTGACAGGTAGAATGATAAAAATGCAGGACTCCACTAGAAATGCTGTAGTAGTTTGCTTTTAAATGGTATGAGTTAATGGGCTCCCAATTCCTTGGAAAGCACATATTTGCATCCTCCACTTATTTGCATCCTCAAGTAAAAAAAAAAATAAAATAAAATAATGAAAGCAGAAATGTTGTTTATTGGAGCACTAAGACGTATAAAGGTGCTTTTAGATATTTATCCTAGTGAAATAAGTCCAGAACAATTTTTAAATGCTCAGTAATAGTTTAATAGTTGCACTGTGGGATTTCAGGACTCTACTGTTTTCAATATTGGTTGTCTTTGTTTGTTTGTTTGTTTGTTTGTTTGTTTGTTGTTTCTTTGTTTGTTTTTTTAATGCCTCTAGGTATTTTTTATGTCTCCAGAAGAAGAAGAAAACATATTCCAGTTGACTGGATATGAGCAAGCAAAGTGAGAAGGCAAGTGGCTGTGTTAGCATGGCGCTAAGCTCAAGGTAGTGTGCCTTATCTTTCCTTGACTACAAAACAGTGTATGCCCAAATACATAAAGACTCTCCAAGAGCAATCTATCATCCTGGAACTCCTATACAGCCAGGATTGGGAGGGCCAGTTTTAAATGACTCCAAAACCAGTTTGCACAATGCACAGACTAAATGACCACGCAAATTGAGGACATGTCCTTTCAGGAACAAAATTGCATGTTAGAGTTGGCACTAGAGAAAAAATATGTGTTGTATTTACTGGATCTTCTGGGTTTGTTTTTGCCATTCACTGACAAGATAAGGCTTCAGATTACAAAAGCAGTGCGATCTTAATTCAAGTTCTGTTCCTCCCAAAAACAGTCACTATTACTTCTAATACAATTTGAGAGGCTGAAAAGGCTTTAAAAAGAGAGACAGAAAAGACTTAAAAAAATAAAAATAAAACCAAACCAAACAGTCTCTGCACTTAAGGAAAGAAAAATGTTTCCTTCAGTTTCTTATTTAAACTATACGATTGCTTTTGTTTTTTCTGCATTCAGTGAAAAACAAAAACATGAAAGACTTGATACTCTATACATATTCTATACCTTATTTAGACTCCAACAATTGGAGTTCCATTATCAGAATAAGGAAAGAGCTGTCTCTGCACACCAAGCACCCTCAGCTGCAAGTTATTGTCATTATTTTTAAGAGAAACTGTCTACAAGCTGTATGACACCACAAGATCTGACCAGAACAAACTGGAGGTTTGGACAGAGGGGAGCCTTATGAGGTTAAAAAATGGCAAATGTGGAGTTCTACTCCTGGGAAGAACTAACCAAATGCGCTGGTGTAAGTTAGTGCCTCACCAAGTGGAAAGGGGCTCTGCAGAGAAGGACCTAGGCATCCTGGTGGACAACAAGTTGATGGTGAGTCAGCAGTGTACCCTTGTGGCCTAGAAAGTTGATGATATCCCAGGGCACATTAAAAAGAGCATGGTCAACACACTGAGGGAGGTGATCTCCCCCTCTAGTCTGCCCTGGAGAGGCCACGTCTGGGGTGCTGTGTTCAGTTCTGAGCTCTCCAGTTCAAGAAAGACAGGGAATTTCTAGAGAAAGTTGTGGAGTCCCCTTCTTTAGAGATATTCAAAATCTGCCTAGATGCCTTCCTAAGAACCTGTTTTACCAGAGGATTGGGCCAGGTGATTTCTAGAGCTCCCTTGCAATCACTATGATTCTGTGATTCTGTGATCTGGAAACTGCAATCTGTAATTTCTGCTTTCTCTCCCTTCTTCCTTGTGTAATATCTATAGTTATGCCAGAAACAGCTATAGGCAACAACAACAACAATAGTTGGTTGAGAGCTGATTTTCTTTGTTTTCCCTCAGAAAGAAGAAAGCATTATAAGCAAGTGGCTTTTAGAAAGACAAAACTAACAAAAATGCCATTTTATTTCTCCAGAGTTGCTAATTTGGTACTTTCCAGGATTCATTAGTTTACTCTCAAGCTGCTGTATTTTTGTTTGTTTTTTTTGTTTTAATTCATATATTTTCTGCCTTATTTGAAAAGTCCTCAGAAGTCACACATTTCATAAAAGACTGTCTAGTATAGGACATTCTTACCCGTGATTCAGAGCTAATTTAGCATGGAGAATTTAGTGACATCATTGTTCTGACCTCAGTGTTAAGTGTATATTAATTTTAATATTTCTATGCCAAGTGTTTGAGACAAGAATTAAAGCATTAAAAGTGATACATAATAAATTTCATTACATCCCAATTGTGTGTGGATATGTAGTTTTCTCAGTATATGAAAAACTTTGACCTGTTATGCTGTTAGCCATTGCCACTGCTGAAATGCAGCACCCACTGCCTCACCGTGCTGACAATTCACTGCCTCACCATGCTGACAATCCACTGCTTGGTCTCCATAAATGTTCAGCAAATGTCAATGAATGTCTGTAGGTGTGAATTTTTCCACCTTGAGCAATTCAGTGACACACCTTTCCTTTATATGCACTTCCATGTCAGACACCATTTTGTCAGACCACCTCTACTGACATCTGTCATATGGCAACAAAACATAACAAAACTTTGGTGGGAAAGTTCATCCTCTAATTCCATACCACCAAGATCCATCTCTGATATAATGGGCCAACGTAATAAAATGGGAAGTGTCCTCATGTCTGTGATGATTTTGTTGTTTCTGTGATTGCATCCTCAAAGCACAACTTCTTAGTTTGTGGGTTTTGATGCAGAGTAGATACTGCCTATTGGCTGAAGATGAGCAGAACTGCTTTACAGGAAAATAAACCTTATAGTTGTCTAGCATGCCTTCATCACAAGTAGAAATCTGTGTAGCAAACCATATCTAAAGTTAGAGTGCTTGACTTTATTCTTTGAATGAATGTCAAAGAGGCTAATACAAAGTTCAAATTTCTAAGTACAGACTAGATTTTAGGACTCAAACTCCAGATGGAATGGTTAATTTTTAACTGTACACAGTGACTTTCAGAACTATAAAATCTGCAGCCAGAAATACTGTTTGACTGGTTTTCTTTCTGAGTGAAGCTTATTTTTATTTTTCTTTATAGTTTCAAACTATAGATTACAAATCCCTACTGTGTAGCATACCAGTATCTACATAGCTTCTACTCCATTTATATTTTGCATAAAATTACAGATGAGTGAAAAGGTTAATAATTACTCCATACAACTCATTGATTTCAGGGCTTCTGCTATCTTACAAGGCCTGTGTTCCTGCATTACATCAGAGTGAACAATCTTTGCTCTATATAGAATAAGTGCTTTTTGCTGCAGTTTACATCAAATCTATTTTTCAATTCAAAATTAAATTATTAGCCAACTGATAAGAAAAATTGCTGTTACATCTAAGCAGGCTACAACAAAGCACCCAGCAATCCAGATAAATTCAAAGTATGTCTGACATGCCTCAGTGCCGAGGCTTTACAAACAATGAAAGTCTATGTCTTGTTATTAGCAAGAACAGTATTGGATTTAATGGGCTACATCCTACATGGAAGAAGTACGTGGTATTACATATAACTCAAAATCAGTTCCCGAAAAGATAATTTTTCCATCTAATTGCCTGTGAGCTAGACAAGGCTGGCAAGATATTTGTTAAGAGTTTTAATAATTAAAACACTTTTCCTAAGGCAACTAAGGAAAAAAAGAAAGCCACAAGAACAGCTTTGGTACACCAGTGACAAAACTGCTGGGGGAAAAATTGATTTTCATGGTAGGAATCCTGTAATTTCCTTCACATTAAGATGAATAATGTAATGTCAAAAAGGAGCCTTAGAAATTAAAAGTTAATAGAAGGACAAGAACACCACTGTTAAGATAAACATATTTCTGGTAGTAATAGCTATTAAGAGCTGCAGAAGATTCAGTCATGGGCAAGAGCTGTATTTTGTTAGATATTGTTTACACATTCATATAACATCAGAGGCCACAATGACTGCTACATGTCATTTAACTTAACTTGTATGTTATGTAGATGATTTTATTTCCATTCCAAGTATATCTGAGTACAGTTAGAGTGAATAGGAGGCCCTCATACCTTCTCTATTTGCATGCTCTATTAAATTACATCGCTGTGAAAAGGAAATGAGAAAGTAGATTCTGAAGAAAAAAACAAAAGAGAAAAGAAAGAAGTAGGGTAATCTCTTTCCTGAAATGTAAGTAGCTTTTAGTTTTTTCTGTTTGAACAAAGTACCAAAACAATGGATAAATTCTGCTTTTGATATTTGACCACTAGATGTTGCTGTAACTTAATTGCAGATGATGCTGTTCTGCTAAATCTTTGTTGCTCTCATTTTGTAGAACCCTGCAACATCTTTTATAAATAAAGTCAGTTTTCTTTCTTGATCTGGAATATACTGTAGTTGCACCTTAAATAGACCAGTTATATTCTATACAAATCCACAGAGATCACATCTCCTTAGCAGAGTTCTGAGTGCAGTGGTTTGATCTGCTCTTAGCTTTCTTAGCTAAGAGCTCCATTAGACTTTCCAAGATGGCACAATTTCACTGATATCTTCTCAAAGTGGTCTCAAAATAAGTGTTTTTTTCATGAGAAACATTTTTGACTATTCGTCATTTTCATCGAGTCCTACAAATGTTTGATTTCTTCATTAATTCCTCCATCTTGTGACAAATGTTAACAGCAACAAAGTTAAATTGGTAGCATGCAAAGCATAATTATTCAACCAGTTGTTCCATGTACAGGAATGTTAGAGGCACATCTCCATTCATTGGATGTCCGTGTGAAAAACAATATGGGAATCAAATCAGGTTTTGCAATTCACACTGTAAGTTATGACAGCACCGGTTCAAGCATAAGAGAAGCTAAACTAGCTTGATTATCAGCTTTCCAGACATGCATGTGATATACACCTGGCAGTCAGATCTGAATCCTACTTTCAATATGTAAGCAAGAAAATTATGTTCTTTGAGAGAAGTTTACATAAAGTTTATCTTGCCCTCACTGAAAGAGTTTGCTAGCCATGCTGGGATCCAACAAATAAAAGGAATAAAAAAATAAAAGGAGTAGTCACTAGAAGTTAGATTCTTCCCAGTAAAGAATATCTAGACAAGTTCTTGTGTATCTCTGCTTCATATAAGACAATATAACAGACTGAACTTCACTCTAGGTTCTCTTTTTTGTTCTCTAAATAGGGTTTCTATTTAGTGTTTTGAATCTACTGAATAAGAACATGATTCTTCTGGAAGGCTTTCAAGTGCACAGTCACTCTCATAAATCCATCTATTTTTTCTGGCAAAAAATAAAAGCAAATAATTTGCACGGCAAATTATTTTTGTTTATATGATGATATTTAAGTATTTTCCCTTCAAGACAAACTTTTTTGCACATTAAGTGCTGTGGAAGGAAATAAAGCATTTGATACATTTACAATAACATTTTTTGTAGCATAACTTTGATGAAATTCACACAGCAAAGCATTACAGTGTCTTCATCTGAATGCTTTCAGAATGATCTGGCAGAAGTTTA